GGAAAGAGAATGAAGAAATGCTAGAGTAATACACAGAGGTATTCCAGATGTTGAACTGGCTATTCGTCTGCTCTTGCTATGTGTTACAGAAATCACTGATTGTGAGATCACTTTCCTTATCCACAAAATGAGCAGAAAAGTCCCACTGTGTACAACGGGTCTGAGCCCTGGCCAGTTAATGATTAAGCCTGTCCTAGTAATTTGCAAATGTCACAGGCTGTGACTGCTGCCGGCTCTGAGTGTCAATCCCTAAATTTTCTCTAATGTGCCACAGAAAAGTTTCTTAAGAGAAAATTCACATTTTTTAAAAAGAGGAATTAGCCCTCTGTCACCAAGACAAGAGAAAATAGCCAAACTGAGGGTACTATCACCATGTGTGTAACCACGCTGCGGCACAACACAATATCACACGCGATCTCCTCTGGTGCTTGATCTGTGCAGTAGGACACATCTGTACTTGGTGTGCTGGTCATGCAGTGCCCAACACCGCAGACACCAGCAGCACACATAGGAAATTTAGAGGCTGGTTTAAGACCCTTCAAAGAATCGCCCCATATGGATCTTCCCAAGGGTTTAACCTGTCTGGCAGTGCTCTGAGTTTCAAAGCTGATTGACATGTATTGGTATTATTTCCCTCACGGACCAGACAGAGGTCAAATCCATCCACTGGAATGGAATTCAGTATTTCTTATGACCATTTCACATTGGGAGAATGTGACTTTTTCCAGAGGAGATGCAGGGAAGGAGACAGCAACATGCTGGCTTGGTTCTGGTAGTTATTTTACACAAAGAATCACCATTCCACTAGGTTTTATTTTGTCACAAAAAGCCTTAGTGCCTAAAATTGTTGATATGCTAAAGTTTTACGTTTTACAAGAGACAACAAACCACCCCAGGAGAAACAGTTCTTATACAGATTGAATAAAAATACAGTTGAATTATGATACATTGAGGATAGTCACTCCCTCTCTTCCCGCTACAGAAGAGCAGACATGAGAGAGTTTGATTGGGTCTGGCCCTTTGAAACCAGTAAATGAGATTTTAACTTAAGCACAATAGGATTTTTCTTTTTCTTTCTACTTCAAATTTGATTCTTATGAAAGTGAGGGATTAATACAACAGATCCAAGCTCTGTGCAAGTAAATCTCTGCCTGTACTTTCCTACTAAAACATTTAACTCTTGCTGCACCCTACAACCAGATGACTGCTGTTATTTTTCTCTTCAGCATCTCTTCAGTGTTTATACTGCTAATTAAGCTGAGCTGTATGCTTTAGGCTAAATAGGATATAGATAGCATTAATGGTCAGGCTCTAAAACCCCACTTCATTTGGAAGAGTAACAAGTAGAGAAATCAAGTTATTCCACTTAGGTTTTTGCAACACTCTCCTGTAATACTTATGGATTTGTCAGTGGGAGATATATACCATATATGTCTATTACAGGAGATACATAGGATCTACTATAGATAGGATACATAGGATATAGATGGATACATAGGATACATCTATCCATGGGTAAGACTAGTATTATCACCTGATCTGAAATCATGTTCAGTATGTTCTAGGTATTTCTTTTTATTTATTTGATTTTTATTTTTATTTACTTTTTTTAGCTGATGGGCTGGTGAGAATTTTTACATGTTGTTCCTGTTGCACCAAAAAAAAGATATGAGCCATCTGCTGTTGTCAAGCCCGTTTTCATGCTTACTGGCACTTCCAGTTTTTATTGCACCCCAGGCTCTCATCAAAATGAGGGTTTCCAAATGTGAAGACACGTATCTCCTTCCCCTGCTCCCCCAGGAAGCGGGAAAAAAATCCCTGTCTAAAAATGCTGGAGGGTGACAGTCTCACGCAAGGTTTTACAGGGGGGGTGTTTGGTTAATAATTCTTGCCACTTTCACATTTACGCTGCTTATCAGACAGTAGGTGATGAACCTCAGTGACACCTCTGAGATGTAGGCAAACGCTTTCAGAGAGAGGAAACCAAGCAGGAGAGGGCTTTGAGGGTCAGTTTGTGCTGGGCACTGTGAACAGTCCCATCCTCAGCGTGCTTTGCCACTCTCCTGGTCTCCCCCCACAGTGACCAGCTACATGACAGCGGGGAACCGAGGCTGGGACACCCCTGAATCCTGCAGACATGCCTGACATAGTACAAGACGGAAAGGATGCTGTTCAGTGGTGAGCCACAACGCTATCCTCACCCAGAGCTAAGAAACAGTCTGGGCAGGCAAAGGTGGGCTCTTCAGGCTGGGTTCTGATTTCTACATGAAGGCAATCAGCGTGTGCCTTTCCTTGGATGAAGAGGGTGCTGCCATATCAAGGTCACAACCTGACCCAGAGATGGCTGGAGGACGAGCGGGTGGCATTCACATCTAAAGGGGATGGGCACATTGTAAGTAAGACACCTGGAGGTGGGAGACAGATTTGTCAGAGATGCTGCAACAACAAAGGTCCCAATTCCAGGAGATGCAAGGAATGAGGGTCTGGGAGAAGGACTGAAGAGGAGAGCTGGTGGGATGGGGGTGTGAGAAAGGACGGGGCAGAGCATGGTTATGGAGTCAGAGGCTGGGAACACACTGAAGGAAATTTCGGCTTCAGCGTCACCCAGATTAATCCCCTCACTCTTTCTCTAGCCACCTCTACCTCCCAGCAAAAAAGAGACTGATGGATTTCTCACACTAGCTAAAGCCAATTCAGCTCAACAATATGGAATAATACTCTGTGTCGAAGGCAGAGATGCTTTTCTTGTGAAGCATCTTATCCTATTTCCCAGCGTTTATCAATAGATATCTTTTACAGTGGATCAAGGAACCTGAACTACTGAGGCAAGCTGCCAGGCACTTTAGGGCATCCTTTTAACAGAGCTGTTTTAGGAAAGACTCATTGATGAAAAGAAATGCTCTAGTTACTCTGTAAAAATAAAATTAATAAGATTTTCTTTTATAGCTGCCCGTCCCACATCTGAGCAGTTTTCAGCTTAGCATTTGTCAGCAGTGTGAATGTCAACAATAAGAAGATCTAAGAGGAATTTTCACTTTTCTCTGAGCCTAATGCCTCTTCAAGCGGCTGACTTGTATGTTGATATTCACGCTGTTGACAAATAATGGATGTCTTCATCAAGTATCTGTATTATTCTTCACCGACATGAAGCATAAGAATTTGTTATGTGAATTCTCACAGCCTTTTCAGGGCAGCTCTAAATTTGCCTGTTTAAATTTCTTTTCTGTACCTCTTATCTACCAGCATCAGAGCAGATTTGAAGAGCAATTCTTCGTTAGGCACGAGGTGCCCTGGAGGCTTACTGCTCCTGTAGGTACATTTCGAAGCCTTGGCAGAAATCATTCACAATTTGGCACTAGGCAGACAAATACAATAGCCATTTTTGAAACAAATACAAATTTTCACATGGAATTGGACCAATCCCCTACGAGCAGCCAATGGCAGATTAGGAAATACAACTAAATTTTTGTACTGTGTTACCAATCCAATTCTACTCCAATTTCAGTCCTCCGTAGATGATTTTTAAGAAGTCCAGTAGCTAGAGTGAAAGCCTTCCAACTTCTCAAAACTAATAAGCATTCGTTTTAGCTAAACTAGAATAGCAGAGATACTTGTGTAAATTTAATAAGAAATTAGATCCACACTTCTGCCTTGTTTGAATTCTCCCTTTTTGATGCTCCTGGATATACTATCCTTCAAATCCTGCATAAATTTTTCAGACAACCACAAAGCACGTGCAATGCTCCAGCATTGCGATACGCCTGAGGCTCATCAAAAATCTTGCAGCTGCTTTGCATGCAGACAACTTTTTTCCATGAAAGGTATTTTCTTTTCTTTTTTTTTCTCCCCCCAAAAAATCCCAAAAGTGAATAAATATTATATAATCCAAACTGTGATTCAGATGTCACTGCAATATCTCACAAGAGTTATGGATTTTGACTTTTTCTGCTCGAAATATAAAATATTATTTAGGCAAAGAAATTATTCCCACTCCCATTTTTCTATGTAACTGAAATCAATAATTTCTAACTACCAGATGTCTATGCAAGCATATCTATTGCAAAGACAGTGGTAGGGAAGCTGAAATAGTTACTACACACCGTGTTGTACATAGGCTTCACATAGGCTTTTAAATTAAGAGAGACAGGTTTTGAAATGGATTCTGTAGACCGTAATTTTGAAGCAAGAATAAATTAGAAGTAGAGTCTCCAAATGAAAAAGTACACAGATTACCCTAGGTTTGGGTTAAAAAAGCTTGCATCAATCTGAAATGCTACAGTTGGTCATGGGCCTGGGCCAAAAATCTCACATCCCATGTGTAAATTTTGAGTACTATCAGGACTGGATAGGACAGCATTTCCCACCTCTACACTTGGCCAAGCCAAAGCTATCGACATTCCCCAGCAACTTGCAGCAATTTGACTTTGGGGAGTTCACGTTAATCTGAACATTGTGGCCCTGTCCCATTTCTAGTTTTTCTCCTCCTCATGCCCATGACCGTGCATTAAACTTCATCCTTTACACAGGCAGGATACGGTACATACAGCGACTTTCCAATGAAAATACACATTGACTACAGGATGCGTTTTGCCTTTGGGATGCCTTTCAACAAAACAAGGTGTCAGCCAACTCTTGGGTCAACCTTTGTGGGGTTGCATTGCCCTAAGCACAGTAAAAGCATCTGGAGTCTTACCTTTTTATGGCTTTGTAGCAAATGATGACAACTACGAAGAGGAACACTAGTGTGGCGCAGCATACTGCAATGATAATAACCAGGCCTGGCCACCAGGTCTCTTCAGTGGGACAAAAGGTAGACTTGGGAGCTGTTAAAAGAGTGGGGAAAAACACATGAGTTCTCCCATATAAGCAGATATGCTTCACTCACCCATGCAATAGCACTGTGCCAGGAACACATATACGTGCATCGAGGATATTTCACATTTAGGACCCATTTTTTTCCCAAGCAATCACTAGTTTGGTACTAGATATTTCTTGTCACGGTCCCCAGATAACCGTGTCCTCTGTGTCAGTGTTGTCTACAACCTGGTGCTCAGTGCGAAGGAGAAAGGGTCAGCTCTGCTACCTCCCTCTGCGTTTGCCATCTCCTGCCACATCAGATTTAGTTTTAGAGAGAGATGTGACGCTGATAACGGTAGGCTTTCAAACCCCATTAGGGGAGGTTTATTGGGGAGCCGCAGCGGTGCCTACTAATCAGTATTGCAGCTGCTATCATTGTAGCCCCGGAGCGAGGAAGGGGGATTTGTTTTAAAAGGACAGGAATTTTATTACACTTATTAATTGCTTTTAGAGGACTATAGTTGACAAGCTCCTTTCCCATTACATTATCTTTGAATTGTACGTCCAATAGCTAAGAAACGTCAACATTAGGAAATGTTAACCCATGATAATATAAGCAATTATCATTACATTTTTCTTAGTCGATTTAAGGCTAGGGTTGTCTATGTAAGTACCACTCAAAACAAGCGGTATTTTGCATCAGCAGTAATACTGGTGGTGTTCAGTTCAAATCTTTTCCTTCAGGGCCATATTCCTTTTCCTACGTTTTGAGGGGACACACATTTCCTGAAGGATGGTGAGCAACAGGCAATGCCATGAGCGGTACCAGTATACTGCAGAGCAGGAAGAGACCCTTAACGCAGTGTATGCAGCCATGTAAACGCCATGAGAATTTGGGTCACCCTAAATGAAGTTTAATAATGAATCAGTCAATGGGACTGTCTAAATCTACATTTTCAGTTAAGTAGGGGAAAGAATTAAATATAGCAAAAAAGCTTTTTTTTTTTTAGTCTAATTATTTGGTCTGATATATTATAAATTCTGAACTTCCTGTTGTACACATCGCAAATAGCCGCACAAGTTAAAACGTGTCATCACTCTTGCATCAATCAGTGTGAGCTGACATCTCCTGTGTTTGATTAGCAAAAGACATACACATAATTTTACGTTTAACACTCACTAGGTAAAAATCCTGAAGTACACAATTACTGAGAAAATATTTTTTTTCCAGTTGCATGATCTATAGAAGAATTGGCAACATTCTCCCAGAGAAATCTGCAAGAGCACCATAGAAAACCACTAGGAAAAAAAACTATAAGAAGCAATCAAAATAATAAAGCCAACAGCTTGATAATTTATAGGCAGTTCAGCATTTGGTACCACACAAGAGGTCGTGTCTTTCTCACACACATCAGCCTTCAACACATGCTATCACTATGATCATACTTGTCTGGCAAATATTGCCTTAAATTTATTGTACACGTATTGAGTGTGAGGGTGGGTTTTTTTTGTGTTTGTTTGTTTGGGGTTTTTTTTCCCTACAGATAGAAAAATAAAGCTGAAAAATTAAGTGATTTGAAGAACTAGTGGGTCCTGGCTCCTCTTTTGACAATGCGTCTGCTCCTGGGCTATCTCAGCAACTGAATTTCTACTTTATTACTATGTCAGCTGCAGAAGTCAGTTTTCAGTGGGTGATGTATTTATCGTGTTGAGATGATTTATTGTGTGGTGATAAAGCTAATGCCTTGGATATTCTCGGAAAGTTCTCAATATTGTTATTTTCTAATATTCCAGAACAGAAGGCATTTCAAAGATGACAAAATGTTTGCGTGAAGGAGCAGGCAGTCTCAGGGCCAACTCTACCCGCCTGGTGTTGTCCTGACAAACACAAAAGGTTGCAGTAAAATCAAAGGAAACACATCCATCTGAGATGCCTTGTAAAATTAGATGAGATCATACAAAATGTGGCAAGTACGGCTACCCCTATCTAGACCGCGTTCTTCCTCAAAGACAGGATCAGCCAAACTAGTTGTAAAGCAAAATGAGATGGGGAGACTGGGTAGCTCCTCGGCACAACAAATGAGGTGGGGAGATGGCAGAGGCAGGGTATAAAGCAAGGCTTGTCACGTGCCTGTGCACCACATGCTCCTTGATGGTTTATCACAGTATTTTTACATGGAGAATAAACAGATATATGTGGGATTGAATAGTGAATATGAGTCCTGACAGCCTGTATGTAGTTATTAATGACAGGAAAATAAGAATTGCTGATGTGGAGGCGACCCCTAATCCACCCAGCTTGGTTCCCTTCCCCACTGGTCCAGACCAGGCACTCAGAAAGAAGCAGGAGAAATCGCACTGGAAGCTATCAAAGCCTGTTTCTTAGTGGCTGGTTGGTTTATACAGCTTTAAAAATTCTTTTCTATTTCTACCCCTTATTATTGCAGTGCTAGGTAATCTTGTTTTCCTTAGAAATGTCCACTCTTTTTCCAATAAGATCCTAGTAGCGTGCTCTTTTCTGCCTTTCTCGGATTGCATTCACATAGCCCTCATTACCTGGGCACTTCTACGTCCTTAATGCATTTCTCCTCACAATTATCCTCTGAGGAAGACCAGAACTGCTTTTAATCCCCTTGTGCTGATGGGAAGCCCAAGCCTGTCCCACAGGGATGCCTCCATGTGCAGCTGGGAAAGTCAGCTGAGAGGATAACTTCCGAAAGAGCCAGCAAGGTACCTGGGAACCACTGTGTCCTCAGGGAGGTACCTCATGGTGAACCCCACACTGAGCTCTCTGTGTTAGGGAGGTGTTGATGTCTCCATCCCCTTGGGCTGGGGCTCATGGCTCTGCTCCCAGGGGTAGCCCAGGGCTGGGGAGGCTCTCCATCCTCTGCTTGGGTCCCAGTCCCCAGCTCATCATCCCCACTATAGAAAAAACTGGTTGCACCTGGGAGGGGCTGAGCCCACATGCATCATGCCCTCAACGATCAGAAATTATCCTGGGGTGAGGACACCTGCAGCACCCTCTTCCAGCTGTGCCACTTTGCAATGCATTTCTCAGGCACCCTCTGGAGGAGTGAAGACACAGGTCCTTAACCCTCCTCTAAGGAGATACTGAAATTATTATTATTATTATTAAAAAGACTGCGCAGAAGATGTCTTACACTACCTATAACAATGTCCAGTTGTTTCATTGTCTTACAAAACCTTTGATGAAATACAGGAGAACACTTCTGTTCTCATGGTCACCTCTTTCTTCGTATGACCTCTTTCAAATCCTCGATAAACCCCCAAAAGGTGCATGGTTTCAGAACCAAGTTGTGCTTTTTTCCTTGTCATATAAAGAAACAACAAGCCACGTACTGCTGCCATTTGCAGTGGTGTATTTGGGGAATGGAGGACACCCCTGGGCACAGGGAGTCCCTTCGCCATCATCACAGGGCCACCAAGAGTTGAGGGCTGGCCAGCCTGGCCATGGTGTTTGCTCCCTCCACTCATCACTGGTCTCATGTGAGCAGCTTCAGCTGCTCAGAGCGTGATTGCCTCCTGGTTTGGCTCATTCCTGGCTGCTCTTCACTGGTCTCAAAATCAGTTGAATGGAGAAAGCGATTTTCACAGTGCAAAACAAATGTGCTTTTCCTCTGAAGCCCTGAAGCGTCATTCTGCACATTGGGTGGAAAGTGGTAGGAAAGTGATGACATTTTAAAGAAAATAAACAAGGTGAACTAAGCGATCACAGCGCGTCATCCTGGCATAAATCCTGCCAAGATAATGAAGACCTCATTCAACTAATAAAGTATTTAAACAAATAATTGGTGCTAAACAGCATAGATTTAGGAAAACACACCTTGTCAGACTAACTAGATATTTTCCGAAGGGATTACTGGTTTGGGAAATAGATGTATCAGTGCTGGTGTGATAACTTTAGACTTTAGTATGACATTTGACTTAATTCCACACGATGTTGGGGTTATGAAACTATAAGCAAGTGTGACACACATGAATTGAGTTAAAAGCCAGGGAACTGGTACGTCTCAAAATCTAACTATGAATGGAAAGTCACTACTGAAAGAATGCATTTTTTAACAGTAACTCTCCCCAAAATAGGGTGATGGATACTGGTAGAGTTTGTAAATGACTCAGGAATGTACTCCACTGCAAGTGGAGACTAAGCATATTTAGATTAGAAATTGGGTAATTACTATCATTAAGGGTAATTATCCATTACAATAGTCTATCAGCTCTGGTGGAGTATTTAACTGGGATATTTAATTTAAGGTAGACTTTTAATTTTTCCTAAAAGAAGTCTAAACTCAGCTAAAAAGACTGGACTCAGAATAAGAATTAAGTAAGTAAAGAAAATGCTCTGTCTGAAAAGTCCACATGAGCACAATGCCTTTTTTCTCTTGGCCTCAACATTTACAAATGTTGGCTAGGTTTACTCTTAGAGGGCCAACACCTTCTCCCATTCCCAACAGCACCAGACCTAAACAAACGCCATGAATAAACAGACCCATTTCAGACCTACAGTGGGTGGCTGGAGGCAACTTGCTGGAAACAAATTCATGACAAAGTACTTCTAGAGGAAAGGCATCCTGCAAACTATTTCAGCACCACAAAAATCTCACACACTTGCTTTCTATGACTAAATTTGTTTTGAAGGCTCAGCATAAAGACACAGCTCCGGTTCTAATGTTAGCAGGTATCTGTACATACATGGCTCCAGCCAGAAATGTGCATACCAGGAAAGATTAACTCAGCTACAGAGGGTTTCCCTCAATGCCCCAGCACAAAGATAGAGGTTGTGTCACTGGAAAGGAAGTTTCCATAAAATCACAAGGGAGTCTCTAATTTCTTTTAGCAAATCTCAGAGTGGGTCGTTCTCAAAATTGCCCTCAGCTACCAAAACTAAAAAGCACTGATGAAACTGTTTTAGTCTTCTGGATTAAGCGTTAAATTGTTTTGTGTATGTTATAAAAGCGACACATACTTGTACTGCCTGCGACAGAATATAGAAACAGGACTCGGA